CAGAGAAAGGATTTTTCCAGAGCAACTTGTGAATATGACAACTATGTTGATAAGGCAACTGTTGCACATGTAGGCAGTTGGCCACTATCCTTTATTTTTAAACATCAGTATTTTATCAAATTAGTAGAAAAATAATTGGAACAGCTGATGGAAAATTGTCTCACACCTATTTAGCGTCGATAGAATTGCTGTTATCGAATCAGATGGAAGTTTATAACAGTAAGCCGTTGGTTAGCAACTAACCACAATCTATTACCCTTGTTAGGAGAGAGCTGTTCAACACTTTTGGATTTCCTGCTCTGTTTTGTAAAACTGGTTCAAAAATCTGCTCAAACGATGAATGCCGGCAGCTAAAATGTGCTCTAACTAATTCTTTCAGAATTCTGTTAACCAATTTTGAGTTCATGAGAGTTCTACTTGTTCGTTCGAATGCTTCTCACTAATAATATAATTTTTAAGGATAGAAATGGATGTTTGTAGTTCACTTTTAGGCTGGTTTATGAATCTTAGTTTTCATGAAAGGTTTAGAATTTCATTATCTCAATTCAAGTGTTTCCAAAATGCACAGTGATTAGAAGTAATGTGGATTTACAAGATAGTTTTGCTCTCTTTTTATGATCATCCTGATGTTTTGCTGTTGATCTATTTTCAAGTGAGAATATCTTCTTATCCAAAAATTTAGAATTAGCAATCGTTTTAGATGAAGTTTCAGGCGTTTGCAGAAACGAGAGGAGCAACATCTGCAGGATGCGCTAAGGCTGGAAATGGAACCTGCAAGCAAGAAACGAAGCTGGTGTTGCCTTTGATTTCCTTATGTGATACGATGTATTCGATGATACAATGTAAATTTCACTAGTCAATTTTGCAGGAATATAATATTCTATGGTCTCTTCATTTTCCTCCGTATGACGAATAAATTTATTCAAGAATAGTTGTCTGTAGAAGATAAAGAAATTACAGACTCTTTTAGGCCTCGGCACGAGGTCTCACTGAATTTTAATGACCCATTTGAAAATCCAGGAATTCGAAGCCCCTCTTGTAACCTGTACAATCG